CCTCAGTAGAAGATCCTGAAGAAATTATTGGAATTTTCGTCTTTGGCCTAGCACCGCCGACAATACCCATATCCGAATTGGAAACATCCGAAACACCTGCAACCGTCGATACGGATTTTTCTAGAGATTGTATGTATAATTCCCGTTCGTGAACTTGCCTGCGTAAAGCAAATAACTCCTCCTGTTCTTTCAAACGCTTTTCAGCAGTTGCCAAACTTTTCAGTTTATCGTTGAGAGCTTTTTTCTCAAGTTCAATTGAATCAAAATCACCGCTTTTATCCGGGTTCTTTGGCGGGGGAGTAAGAGTTAATTTGGACGCGGTTGAAATTTTCGTAACATCTGTAGTAGGTGTTATAACATCTCTTCCCTCATGCAAAGCTTTATAGTCTGGGTTATCTTTAACCCTTTCTGATTTCCTTTCCTGAGGCATTGTTCAATTCAAACAAATAAAAAGTTACCTTCCTAATAAGAAGCAAGTCAAAAACAATATATAAATAACTGGTCCCTGCAACTTTCTAACTCATCGTGATAAATGTAGACCGCTCCACAAACAAATGAAAACTTCTTTAGCACAAGACGGGCACAGTAAAACCCTATGGTAACTAGATAAACAGACTGACGAAAAAAGATCTGTATCAACCAAAATGTGTCTAAGAACTGTAAAGACCGCGAAAAGATGACTGAATTTATAACAACGCGTAGGAATACAACTAAATCAGTGACCCGAAAAATACAAACACCTAAAGAATGACCCAACAGATTAACCAATAAAAATTTCTGTATTATATCGGTAATTAATAGATTTTAGATAAATCGAAAATACTCTATATTATGCAACCAAGTTTAGTCCTTAACCCCCCGAGAATACGAGAAAACAGGATACACCATTAAAGCTATTTTTTTTTTAAATTACATAGACACTTGTATATGATATGAAATTTCAACAAAATTACACCTTAAAAATGTAAGTGTAGACAACAAATATCACATCTTGATTTAAAATTGCAAGTACATTCATAAAGAACCTATATAGTACTAAGATAAGCAAATGTCACAACTTTATTTTCTTACAACATCGTAACTGTCCATTTCAACGGAATGAATGAAAATTATAGCAGGCTAAGTCATATTATATTTAATAAATATTTATTTATTTCTCATTATAACCTATATCTTATACAAACAAAAATAAATATTGCTATATTTGGGTATATTTGGGTGCATTTGGGTATATTTGGGTATTTCGTGCCGCCGTGGCTAGGCTGAGTAGTTCACATTCACAAATTATTTTAGAGAAAAAAATCTAAAAATTTTTTTAAAAAATACAGACATATCAATTACATAATTTAAAAGAGCTGTCAATAAAAATAAAACAAACATTACCTATATGTAAAATTGGAAATAAAGCCAGAAACCGCAGCATCTTGGTTTCTCTGCTCAGCATCAACAAAGCCCTTTGTTTACCATGATCTGCGCTTCGGTGACTGTGATCAATAATGTAACTCTAATTTCTGTACTGTGCCGTTTTTTCTGTGATCCGGTTGCTATAGGCTAGAATAAAATTTTACAATCAAAGTCATGCATTTATTGTATTATAATCTTACCGCATAATAAGAGATTAACCATATATTTCTTTTAATTTGTATGTGAAGAAATATGATACGTTAAATCCCAAGTCGGCAAGATTAAGGAAAATTCTACATAATAAACATTTATATGCTCTAGTAGATAAGTTTATCTTTTACAGCAGACTGTAAAAAACAACAATGGAGAAAAAAATAATCGTATATACATGTAAAGTACAATATATAAGGTGAAATAGCTGTGACAAAAAAATAACGTAATGTGTATTTTTGTCCCAGGAAATAGAAAACAATCAAAATTATAGAAACTTAAAATGATCTACATTTTTTTTTTAAAAAGTATTAAAATAATGATTATGTACAAATATTGAAAAAAAAATACAAAACGCCGGCGTTACACCAATTTCAAATGGTAATATTAAAGAATATAATATAAATATTATATTGTCCATTAATAAAAATAAATCAATTATTATAAATCAATTATTAAAAGATATATAAATATGAAAAAGTTGACATTAAGAGTAATTATATATCACAAAAAGATATGCAAATAAACTTTTATCTTCGCCAAAACATTATTCATTTTTGCTTCTTCTAATTTTTTTGCAACAACATTGTTAAAAATGTTTGCCATGTGTATTGTGATAGTCGCCTCCAAAGGCATTAGATTAGCGGCTCTTGTTATGTAAGAAGATAGTAAGTTCCATCCAAAGTAATATGCTGGACAGGATCGAGACGCGTAATATATAGCCGAGAAAAGGCGGGAGTTGGGGGGGGGGGGGGCGGGGCGGACGGGGCACAAAAACAAAAAACAACACCATTTTTTTAGGGAATATATATAAAACGCATTTCTGCAACGTCAAGGGTATATGCAATTCAAAAACGAGCTCAGTAGTCCCAAACGGGCTCGGTGACCAAAATTTGTTTTCGCTTTTATTTTTAATTTTTGTAATCTAGCTTATTCTAAGACCACCTACAGATTGCATAAACTCTGTTTTACAAATTTTCATTCTGCCTATATATATTTAGCATACACCATATTAAGGTCGCATTGTTGCTGTTTCTTTTAAAATATTGTTATTAATAAATTGATATTTTATAAGAATATTTTCATGTCAGCAGTCAATTAATGATTATTACAAGTTGTAATATATAAATATAATGATAAACTACACATTAAAACAATATACTACAATAGTAACATGAAGAAATCCAAAGTCCATGGTTCGAATCCCGTTGGTTAGAATCCCGCCAGTGACTTTGAATACCAGTTTTCACGTCAGGGAGCTGTTCAGCTCGCTAACGGAACATCAGTAGAAATATTCAAGTGCCCGTTCATGCCTGAAATAATGCATTGAGTGACGCCTGAGGTCTTCTTCTACCCGTATTATAAAGCTGAAAAGTCTCCACATGATCACAATAGTGTCGATGTGACTTGAAACCGAACCGTCTAAGATAAAAAAAAGTTATATGGTCTCTAATTTAAAAAGAAACCCGTTTCGATCGATGAAAACGTTTAAAATACCTATAATCGGCAAAGAGGAATTCAAGATAGTATCATATATAGTATCTCGTGGCCACGACTTAGCTATCTCGTGGCCACGGCTTAGTTACTCGTGGCCACGACATAGTATCTCGTGGCCACGACTTAGCTAACTTGTGGTCACGACATAGTATCTCGTGGCCACGACTTAGCTATCTCGTGGCCACGACTTAGTAACTCGTGGCCACGAGATAAATAAAAACACACACACCGTAAATATCAGCTGATTAGCTAGTTAATGATATAATTATGCACTTTGCGCATGCTTAATAACATGTCTAGCCAGTATCTCGATGTTAGGGATTTTAGGAGAATAAACTTACATCTTGTAGAGTATACACGTGTTTGTGTTATATCACTATTTTGTGAAGTCTACTTGATTATTATTACTCCCAACAACAAAACAGAACTTACTCGAATTTAATATTCTATTTATCATAATTATACTAAAAATAAAGAAGTGAAAAAGAACTTTTTTTTTTCATTGATGCGCCTATTGTGTAACGAGTCTTATAAGAAAAGTTATATAGTAGATATAAATATTTTCTGTTTTAACTAAATGTAATCTGCCATATAATGTAGCTGATAAAGGAATAACTTTTAAATCGTTTCTTTTTAAATGTTCACAGCATATAATAATTAAATTCTAAAATGGATATTAATTACCTCAATATCTATATACAGTGACATTCAAACGTTTTTCGTATTCAAGAATCTTTACGAGTATCTCTTTTATATGTCTGTATGACAAAAACATTGTTGAACCTGGAACTTACGGTCTTTTTAAGTCCAAGATTGAACGTGAATTATTCTATGATAATTACGGCCAAAGGAATTTTCAATGGAAGGAAAATGGAAGCGGAACTCGGACATCTATTTGTACATGTACGTCAAGTTAAACGCTCAAAATATACATAAATTTTATCGGGCCCACCGCACTGCGTTGCAATCAAATCCACCGCCGTCTGCGATGAAATCATTTTCTGTCATTTATTTTGTAACCAGACAATAATGATTCTCCAAATTTCCAAAATATAGTTTTTTTGTGAAATTATCATACATACGATATGATGCCGTTGTATTATGGGGTCGTTTTGCACACATTTGTACGTGCTTTAACCAAAATTAGGCAAAAGTGGCGTCCCCTCGTCAAGCTGTACAGAAGTGTTTGCATAAACGGCAATGAATTGCACCGTGTGTGTGTAATAAATTGAAAGAGTACATATGTGGGCTCCAGTCTCTCTAAGTGTTTCCAGTGAAACATTAAAACATACAACAAAATTCAGTCATATAATTACCGACAACAGTAAACGGCCATATTTTATCCACCGCTTCTGCGACGAATACTCCACCGCCTCTGCGAAAGCTATGGCAAGAGTTATTTAAGATTTGATTAAAGTTTCAAGGGAACGTAAAATTGATGAATTTTTGATTGAATTGTAGTTGTCTCCCTACACAATCCAGCCTCACCAGCAGGGCACCAAGAAGATACCCAACCAAAAACAGAGGCCGATACGAGAAATAAAGACAGTAAAAGGTTTGGGAAACATTACTGCGGGCGACCTGCTCGCCGAATAAGAAGCACGGTACGCAAAACATGCCGTCGCCAATGCTCGGAGAATATTTCGGCCAAGAATGGGTCTTAAGTCAGCTAGGTACCTCAAGCTTTTAGTAACTTTCCGCCGCTGAATCTGTATAAGATATCGCAATATAGATCATTTTAAAAGATATTAATTTATACCGTATATGTTATGAATTTTTTATATAATGATAAGTCGAAACAGTCAGTAGGCCTATACGAATATATATGCCCCGACCACACTCCTCACTCTGTTTTTGTCACTTTTTAGAACTTTTAGCGCATGTGTTTTTTTTCTTCTTCAGAATACTGCCCCGCTTAAGTTACAATTGACTTAATTGAAATAAAACTTTTTTGCCTAAACTTCCAAAGAACATATTTCTTTCCTGAATATTTTAATCATGTTAAACAAGATATGTTTGTAAAACAAATATTTCCCCTATCGACAGCCAGTTAGTCATGTGTCAATGTTATTGTGGCTGACTTTTGACCTAGTGATCAAAAAATCTGTAGGGGTTATCTACTGGTCATGACTAATCTCTAGGTCATTGTGACCGTAACGGCAATTTTACGTGCAGCAATTTTATGACAAAGTTATCACAAATCTTACCGAATGATATATACATACATTTTATGAATCATTTAGGCCTCCTTAACGACAGCCAATTTGTTATATTACATTAGACCACGAAATGTTTATACAAAAAGCATAATTAGTTTAATATAAAGTACCAACCCAGGCAACTGGAGTTGTTGTGTTCTTGGTCAGAACTCGTTTTTACGTACAAGGTCAATTTGACTTTGATCCTTTAATCAATAAGGGTTATCTACTAGCCAAGACCAATGCACTTGTGAAGTTTGAAGGTAAAGGGCCACGAGTTGTTGAGATATTGATCAGAAACCATTTTTACCTATAAGGTCAATGTGATCATGACCTCTGACCACTTGACCCTAAAAATCTATTGAGGTCTTCTTCTGACCAAAAGCAATGCATCAAGGGTTTATGGGTTGTCTAGTTATCCATAGAAAACTGATTTGACATACAAGGTTGATGTATTTTGCAATGTTAAGTTACTTTCTTTGTTCATCTTACAATATTTTAGTTTTGTATGAAGAAA